GTGCCAGAGTCTTCTGCTTCTAAATCCTCCATCCAAATCCAGCCCAGGCATGTACTATGTCATAACTCTCAGGGACACTTCTCCCAGTCCCACTGTTACAAGTTTGCCAGTGAGTAAAAATCAAATAGGCTGCTTGCAGACATTAAAAAAGACAAACCAAAAAACAGGGCATTACTTTAAACTCTGTATACTCCCACACTGAGCACAGCACATTATCAGAAGAGATGCTGCACGAGCTGGATCTGGCTTGCCCAAAGTCTGTATATTTTGGGCACACCCCCATGTCTGTCAGCAGCCATAGAGATCAGCTTCACAACACAGAGATGTAGTTGCCTCTGGCATGAGCAGGGTGGGGATACCCATCTTACCAGAACATAGCAAGGAGAGCTTGCTAGGGACAGAAAGGTTAAGTGGTTCAACTATCATTATTAGGGGTGCACCAATGGAAATTTTTTGAGCCGATATCAACGGCCATCTTTGAACAAGTCATATCAGTCGATACAGATCCGATTACCAACATGTAGCCATGCAGCTTGGAGAGCAGTGTCTGGCTGGTAAGTCTGTTGCGGGTGGTGGGAGTTGTGTGGGGGGAGAGAGGGCAGTGGGGGGGGGGGGGGCAGGCAGATCATTGCCCCCACAGTGAGGGTGGGAGTGGGGCTGGGACAGGTCCTGCACAGCCAGGGTGGGGTACGGGATGAAGCCATGAGCAGCTTGTCCAGGGGGTAGCTCCTGCAACTGCACACACCCTATGAGGGCATGGGGGGTGCCCCCAGATCTGCACGGGGCAAAGGTGAGCTACCATTGTGGGCTGGGAGTGGTGCCAAGCTCTTCCTGGCAGAGTGCTGAGCTACACTGAGCTCAGGGCAGGCAGCAGCGGTGCTGGGAGGGTAGCTATTGGGGGGCTGCAGTTACCCCTAAGTTTGCGATAGTCCCCAGTTCCAGCACCACCGGCGCCTGCCCCAAGCACAGCCCGGCGCAACCCCCCCGCCGCTGGGAAGAGCCTGGTGCCACCCCTGGCCCCAGCCCTCAGCAGCAGCCTGCCCTTGCCCCGCGCAGATGTGGGGGCACATGCCCCCAACGCCCTCCCAGGTTGTGTGCAACAGGAGCTGCCCTACCCAGAGGAGTCACTCTCTGTCCCTCGCCCTAGCTGTGCAGTGCCTGCCTCTGCCCCAGCCACACTCCTTCCCTCACCACAGGGGTCTTGATTTGCACCCCCTCCCCGCCCCTTCCCTCACAACAGACTTACTAGCTAGATTTGGCTGCTCTCCAAACTGCCAGGCTGTGCTCCTGGCTGCCTGCATGCTGCACTGTGGCTGTGCGCATACACAGGGCATTTATTAGCTACCTTATCAGCCACATCAGTCAAAAAAACCAACTGCCAATACAGTCAATTTTCCTTATATCGGTGCCAATCCACTATGGGACCAATGTATCAGTGCACCTCTAATAATTATATTTATACCATTAATGCATTACAGTTAACATTTAACATTTTTTGACACATGGTTTGTGTTTGCTAGGGTAGAGTTAAATGAATTATGTTTTCAAATTACATTGGCTGAGTAGTTGCATGATTTATTGGTACTACAGAGCGCGCATCCCTCAGCCCAACGTGTCCATCCCGCTGTACCAGCGTTGTATGACCTTCAACCCAACCCACAGGCATGTGTTACTGGTTAAATGGTTAACCAATATAATCAGAAGAGTCTAAACAGCCAATTTTTAAAGTGATATTTACATCCCTAGAGCTTGCCCAGCACTGAAGCGCAGCTGTCTCTGGGGCAGGATGCAGCGCTCAGCCATCGCAGAGCAACACTGAGTGTTAGTCTAAAGGTGGAAAGTGAATGAGATCAAAACTGTGCAGGTGACGGGGAGAAGTTCACTGTTTTTTAAGTTGTACATGTTGCTTGGCTCTGACAGTCTGGCTTTGCACGTGGAAATCAAAGCAGCTTCAAGTAAGAAAGCCTGACATGCTGCATGACACTTGTTGATCTGTAAGGGGGTGACTCTGAAGCACTTGTCTGAGCAGAGCAGAACCTCCACGGACCTGAGGTGGGGGGCGGGGCTGAAAAACTAGAAGGGGAAGAATAAGGAAGCCAGTGTCATCTCTCAGCGCAGCTTTGGGCTCCTCTGCAATTGCCTGCAGCATCCAAGCAAGACGATTCCCCCATCTGTCTCGACTCTGCCCAGTCCCCCTACGAAGCACTGAACACCCTGCATTACCCATCTTTCAGACAAGGGCGAGGATGGAAGGAAGTGAGGGGGACCGCACACGTCCCCAAACTGCAGCGGGGGAGAGCAGGAAACTGCGAGGCCCACCACAAACATCTACGCCCCTTAGAAGGTGGGACACAGAGCACAGCCGCCGACTGCTGGGGACGAACGCGCTGCAGAGGGGAGCGGGAGGGAGGGTGACAGGGTCACAACCAGCACCCCGCAGCGGCCGCGGACACTGCCCGGAGCCGTGGGGAGGAGACAGGGTGGGACGAGGGTCACAGGCAGCAGCGGGGACAGCGCTGCGGCGCTGGGGCCGGGGGAGGGTCCGCCGCGCCCCGCGTCCCAGGACCGACTTTTGCCCTGGGCACCGCGCCCGCCCCTTTGGGCGGGGCACTGGCCGGGGCACGGGACAGGGGCTCACCGGCCGCGCACTCACCTGCGGCCGCGCGAGCCCCGGCCCCCGCCCCGGCCCG